CTTGCCATGATGGCAGCCTCTAGCTCTAGAATTTGGACATGGTGGGTGTCTGTCCATTTCGCTTTACCTCGCAAGCAATAATTACTTGTGGGAGAGAGCAGATTAGAAACAAGACGATGATACATGATGATCATAAGAGCAATAGATATAAACAAGCACGATATAATCTTAATAAACTAGAGAAAGATAAATTGCGAAACTATATGAAATAAAACAATGAATGACATGGTTGTAGTGTAAGGTTGCTGAACATAGTCTGATAATATTTCTATAGTCTAAGAAATGAAGAAAGATCCAGGAAACAAAAGAGAAAGAAAAGGAAAGGACGATCGAATCCAAGAGTTAGACAATGCTAAGGTGTTCGCTAGAAAACAAGCAAACGGAAATAAGAAGGGAGATGAAGGAAGAGAGGCCCGACCTATCCTTTCCATTCCAAGTCTGAAGGTGCACAAGGCCAGCTGGGGCCGAGACATTTCATACACAAAGAACTTGACTGCGGTTCTTTTCCATGTCCTTGTCGTTTCTTGCCAGAATGACAGAATATGTTTCTGCAATTTGGACATGATGTGTATCTGTTCATTTCTTTTTACCTTGCAGTCAAGAATTACTGATGGGAGATAACAGATTAGAAACAAGACAACTGCAAATAATGGTACGGTTGAAGCCCTAAATATTGCAAGTGCGGAGCAGACCCACAGAGGGCACGGTCCACTCAAAAAGGCGCTGCGACATGACATCTGCGGCCCCCCCTCCCCTGATACAATATTGAACTTGCAATATATAGGTCTTTGGAAGACGGGTTACGCGCTTGGCTTCAACATTGTAACTGGGGGGAGCGGGGTCCGCACACAGCGGGCGACGCCACAGTGCTTTGGTGGCACTTGCAATAATTGGGGCTTCCACTGCAATAAGGGAAACAGATATAAGAAAACAAGATAGACACATATCTAAAATAGAAGTATGCAAAATTTAACACATGTAAAATAGAACGACAAATGGAAGTAGATAATAACCACGTGTGTAATAATCTGATAATAATTCTAACGCCTCAGATCACAAAAGAGAAAGGACCGGATAATAAAAACCAAGAGTTAGACAATATTGCTAAGGATTTCGCTAGAGCTCAAGTAATTGGTGCTCCATTTCTTTACATTCCACGCTAGAAGTGCACAAGGCTAGCTTTGGCCGAGAAAGTGCTCATGTTGCAATTCACCACATTGAAAATGATGATGACGATGATGATGATGAAGATGATGATGATGATGATGATGATGATGATGATGATGATGGTGATGATGATAATGAACATGATGATGGTAAACATGATGTTGGAAATGATAAAAATGATGATGAAAGTGAGGACAAAGATAGTGATGATGATGATGATGATGATGATGATGATGATGATGATGATGATGATGACAATAAACATGATGGTAACCATGATGATGAAAATGATGATGATGATGATGATGATGATGATGACGATGATGATCAGGTGGCCAGGCTGGACCCCCTGGATTTTTCCTTTTTTTCATTTGTTTTCATTTTTTCAATTCTTCGGCCAGATTTGAACAAATTGAAACAATTGGAAAAACAAACGTAGGCTTTTGGACTTTTCATGTTGTTCATTTTTTCCAATTCTGGACAAAAAATTGAAAAAATGAGACATGATGAAAAAATGAAAAATATGAAGAACAAAATGAAAAACATGAAAAAAAATCGTAGTCGTGGATTTCCCATTTTACTCATTTTCTTAAATTCTGGCCAAAAAAAAACGGAAATATGTAAAAAACAAAATAAAAAACTGAAAAATCCAGGGGGTCTGGGAAGGGCTCGGACGATGATGATGATGATGATGATGATGATGATGATAAAAATGATGATGATGATGATGATGATGATGATGATGATGATAAACATGATGATAAACATGATGATGAAAATGATGATGATGATGATGATGATGATGATGATGATGACGATGATGATCAGGTGGCCAGGCTGGACCCCCTGGATTTTTCCTTTTTTTCATTTGTTTTCATTTTTTCAATTCTTCGGCCAGATTTGAACAAATTGAAACAATTGGAAAAACAAACGTAGGCTTTTGGACTTTTCATGTTGTTCATTTTTTCCAATTCTGGACAAAAAATTGAAAAAATGAGACATGATGAAAAAATGAAAAATATGAAGAACAAAATGAAAAACATGAAAAAAAATCGTAGTCGTGGATTTCCCATTTTACTCATTTTCTTAAATTCTGGCCAAAAAAAAACGGAAATATGTAAAAAACAAAATAAAAAACTGAAAAATCCAGGGGGTCTGGGAAGGGCTCGGACGATGATGATGATGATGATGATGATGATGATGATGATGATAAAAATGATGATGATGATGATGATGATGATGATAAACATGATGATAAACATGATGATGAAAATGATGATGATGATGATGATGATGATGATGATGATGATGATGATGACGATGATGATCAGGTGGCCAGGCTGGACCCCCTGGATTTTTCCATTTTTTCATTTGTTTTCATTTTTTCAATTCTTCGGCCAGATTTGAACAAATTGAAACAATTGGAAAAACAAACGTAGGCTTTTGGACTTTTCATGTTGTTCATTTTTTTCCAATTCTGGACAAAAAATTGAAAAAATGAGACATGATGAAAAAATGAAAAATATGAAGAAAAAAATGAAAAACATGAAAAAAAATCGTAGTCGTGGACTTCCCATTTTACTCATTTTCTTAAATTCTGGCCAAAAAAAAACGGAAATATGTAAAAAACAAAATAAAAAACTGAAAAATTCAGGGGGTCTGGGAAGGGCTCGGACGATGATGATGATGATGATGATGATGATGAGCATGATGATGATAAACATGATGATGAAAATGATGATGAAAATGATGATGAAAGTGATGTTAAAAATGATGATGAAAATGATGATAAACATGATGACACAAATGATGATAACAAATGATGATGATGATGATCAGGTGGCCAGACTGACCCCCTGGAATTTTGAATGCTTTCAATGTCTTCATTGTTTTCATTTTTTCAATTTCGACCAGAATTGAAAAAAGCTTAAAAAAAATGAAAAACCATCGTAGTCTTGGATGTTTCAATTTGTTCAATGTTTTCATTGTTTTGGCCAGAATTGAAAAAAATGAAGAAGAAAAAAGACGTAGTCTTGGTTGTTTCATTTTTCTTACATGTTTTGCGCCAAAAAAACAATGAAAAATGAAAATAATGTGAAAACAATGAAAATCCAGGGGGTCTGGGAAGGGCTCGGTGATGATGATGATGATGATGATGATGATGATGATGATGATGATGAAAATGATGAAAATGATGATGAAATGCTGATGATGATAATGATGATGACGACGATGATGATGATGATGATCAAATGATGATAAAAATGATGATGAACCTGATGATGAACATGATGATGATGATGATGATGATGATGATGATGATGAAAATGATGAAAATGATGATGAAATGCTGATGATGATAATGATGATGACGACGATGATGATGATGATGATCAAATGATGATAAAAATGATGATGAACCTGATGATGAACATGATGATGATGATGATGATGATGATGATGATGATGAAAATGATGAAAATGATGATGAAATGCTGATGATGATAATGATGATGACGACGATGATGATGATGATGATCAAATGATGATAAAAATGATGATGAACCTGATGATGAACATGATGATCAAAATGCATTATATAAAAAAAAAAAAAAAAAAAAAAAAAAAAAAAAAAAAAACGGTCACATGATACATACTATTCCCTCTCACGGGGGGGGGGGGGGAAGGGGGGAGGGGGCGCGGAAAAAAAGAAACGGAGGCCTCCACAACGCCCCTTCTGTGTATATATATATATACATATATATATATATATGTATGCACTATGTACATCATATGTCTACACATGTACATAAATACACAAAACACGTACGATGTATGCTTGTCTCTATCTATGTGTGTTGAGTGTTACCCCATGATCAAAACGCTGCTACCTGTCCACTAGTGAGTCCGTCAGGCTTTTTAGTTGCAAAGTTCACGAGTTCCCATAGCCCCAAATTGACCATAGACGTTCGGTGTGAACGCGGAAGATGTTCCATGAGTCGCATTCAGTTTTGAACCAGCATCGCTTTTCTTTGGAAGACGCACGCCTTCAAAACGATCGAGCCCATTCCAGAAAGAAGCGGCGTGGTATGCAACTGGAAGGTGTTTTTTGCTTTTGACTGCGCTTGCTGAGGGACCCGTCCAGGTCGCAGGGCCAGCACAAGCAAGCGATGGGGTCTTCCGGGGCGGCTCTGGTCAGGTTCCGGGGTTCTGCAAAGTTTCCCCGACATTTCTGTGAGGGTTTTGCGAGGGTTCTGCGAGGGGCTCCGCATGGTCTAAAACCGGGCTCCGCGAGTCCACAGGGCGGTTAGAACCCATTCGGGTGTGGAACTGTTGGGGATATCACATGAGCTTTTTTACCTGGACGAGTTTCTTTTGCCCGTCCTGGTTTGCCCGGAAACAGGATGGGTTGGACGGGCTGCAATTTCTTGCCCGTCCTAGTTTATGTGGAAAACAGGAGGTTGGACGTCGTTGTCCTGACTTGCCTGCGAAACAGGATGCGGGAGAGGTGGCAAGAAGGCTTGTTGGCGGGTAGAGCCTTTGTTCGTAGAACTCAGGGAAGACGCAGCGGGCGGACGCGGAGCAAAAGCCTATTCCTGCCGCAAGAATGACTTTTGGCCGGGGCCAACCTTAAAAAACCCGAACCTCACGAGACAAGCAATTCCCCCACTTTTTAAGTTGCTGGCAAGAATGCTTCAGCTGGTGCAGGTTTGAACGCGCGAAAGGTGGCAAGAATGCCGGCCCATGAAATTGAAAAGTGGCTGGTCCGATCAAATAAGAATGACCGAATCATCCTCAAAAGACCTTGGAAATGCTGACTCTGGGCCACGGGCTGGCGCAAATCCCACGACTTTGGCGTCCGCGACCTCGCAGGCAGGCGCACCTCTTTGCGCAGGTGCCATATTTCTTCCAACGAGTTCGTCCGCAATCTACCTGCAAGTTGCCGATCCCATCGTGGAAAAATCTCGGGCTCTATGGCCCAACTCCCCCATGCCCTCAAGTGACCATGCCCTCGTTGAACCTCAAGCGAGCCCTAAGGCTGCGGCAGCGCCCTCGCTGTACTTCTTGACCATCTCCTGAAATTCCGTACTCGAACAGAACCCTCCGAAACCCTCCCTGGAACCCTCCGAAACCCTCCCTGAAAGCTGCTTACCCAGGGTGTATGGCTGAACATTTCCGGAAATGCGTTCCTCTTGGTCTGCTGGATCCTGCAAGTGGGACGCCGCAGGCAAGGATTGAGTTTGGTGGGAAACGGTTTGCCAATGAATGGTTGGAACCGAACGTGTTCCAAGAATTCAAAAGGCTGAGTTCGGTTGAGCACCGACTATTCCGAATCTTTGCGGCTTTAGGGACGTTGTTTTTGCCCCTGAAGGATTACTCAGGGTGCTCCGGCTCCAACCTCTGGTCTCAAAATGGGATATGTGACATGCCAGTTCCAATTGTGGATAGCCCTCAAGCATGAAGTTTCTGTTGGCTCCTTTGCAGAACCATCCAGAAAGTGTAACCCGATTCAAGAAAGGGGACTCCCACTTGTCTTGAGAAACCGAGGGGCGAGCGGCATCGGATGGCCCAGCCCCCCAACCCCCCTCAGGTTGTAAATGCCTCGTAGGTCGCTGGGTGTATTTACTCCGATGCAGAAGGTAAATATGTATTGAAGAGGCAAATGACCAGATGGAACTGTAAGCAGCGTTTGGTTCCAAGAGGAAAAAGTGTAAACTGTAGCACAGTCAGCAAAGCGGGTTTTTTCTCTATGAGCTAGAGATTGCAAAAGCTACCAGGTACTGTGAATCAAGCACAGAACAAACGAGAAACAAAACAGACACATATTTCTTTCCAAAAAGACATCTCAGATTCAAAAAATACTTTTAATCACTCGGCTCATAAGCCTAGAATATACGGAGTAGTGCAGTAGTAGCAGCGCTTAAAACTGTTTTCGAGCACGAGACACACGACTTTTGCACGGGCTCAGATCATTGTTGGAAACTGTATGTGGCCTGGGTGAGAATACTCAGACAGGAACACGGCAAAGGTAGAAAAGACACTGACTGCACAGAGAAATTTCGGTGCTCCGGAAAGAAAAGAAATGGAAACGCCGTCTGGACACAGAAGTGGACCCCATCATAATCTGTCATTAAGATGACGTGGTTTCACCTTCTGAGTTGCTGGTTACTCCCTCCTTCTCTCTTTTTCGCTTCATGGCTGTCGGATACATTGCCTCATGGAGAACATCGAGGTTCACGAGGAGTGGATGGTGCCAATCTGTATCTCCAGTCCAGCAACTTGTGTCTTTCGACTGAGCTCACCTTGTAGTTCGGGAAATATGTTTCTCAGTGGCTCTGCGTCGCTTGTGTCGCGTTGTCGGAGATCTCGCATTTGGTCTTGGCGGGGTTGCCGGGCAATCCAGGACCTTAAAATCCAGCATGCTCAAGGCGGCTTTAAAGCCGTAAACGAGTGAAGTTTCCATATGAATCTCCCTGAGGCAGCAACTTGAGCGCTGATGCGAAGATGGGTTCAATGGCTCTTTCTGGGCCTGGTTGAAACAATTGACGATTCCTTCCATGGCCACGTTCATAGCGGATATTTCAGGGTGCGACACCAGCTGGCTCTTGCTGAGCCTGTTTGCACGCACCAGTAACATCGACCATGTGTTTGCGGCCCCGGTATATGAATCGGATCATGTTTCCAATGACCGCGTTGTACAACTTCGTAGCATTGCATTTGTAGCGGTATACTCCCACCGTTTGGAATTGTGCGAAACCGTCATCTAAATACAGGGTTCTTCCTTTTTGAAAAGGTTGGGCTCTCTGGGTCCCTTTGATCTTCTTTGGACCTGGATCATTGCCTGCAGCGCGGACGGTGACGTCGCTGAATGTTTCACCTACACGGGCGTGAGTCGCAGCAAGTGGAACAAAAATTCGTCTCTGGATCTATTCAGTGGAACCTTGGTGTCTTCCGAATCTGACAGGAGCGCATACCATATTCTGAAGTATGCTCCAGACATGGCCCACGTCTGCGACTTGGTCAGCACATAGCGGTTACCCCGGGCGGTTTCGTCTCCTCTCACAAAGCAACCGATGCCAGGTCTGCATCTTCGTCTGTGTAGCGACGGCTTCTTTGAAGATCAGAGCTCTCCGGTTCTCCCTGATCTTCTTGTAGTTCCTGCGAGGATTCTTCATCTTCTCCAGGATCATCTGGTTGCGCCTTGTCGTCAGTTCTTGGCGGCTGACATTCCATGATGATGCTGGCGCTGATGATGCTTCCCGTCTTTGTTCTTCTTGTGTTTCTTGTTTGATGTACCTGCTTCTAGCATTTCGTTGTCGACATCTTCAGGCATAGGTTGAAGTGAAGGTTGTTTTTGTTTCGGTGGAGGCACCACAACTGTTGGCCGATTAGGAAGTTTTGGAACATCACCCTCCAGCCGACTGACCTGACTGGTCCAGGAAATTGCTGTTGTCGCGGTTGTTGAACTGGTGCATCTGGCTGTACTCCCTGGTTGACTAGTGTTTGCTGTGACTCAGGCGTTGGTGGGTCTGGTCTGTGGTGGCTGTGGTGCCTGTGGCATGTCTTTGGTAGATCATTTCCACGATCACCATTGCGATCGCCTTGCTGTAATAAATTGCAGCTGTTCCAGTCACATCTGCGCGCTGGCAAGACCCAAAGTTTGCCACCAAAACACGCGGGCGTCACCCGGCGTTATCTAAAGGTTTGACCTATAGGAATCTGAGAAGAACATGTGCCATCTCTTGACACAATGACAAAGGATATATCTGGGCAGGTCTGGTACGCCTGCCTTGATGCTTAGCATTGCCTTCAAGAGGCTGAGCTGAGGCTGGTGCTTTTCCTTATCCAGGTAATTCGAGCACCTTCTAAACGTCTTTAGGAAGATTGTGCATAAGACTTGTTGGTTTCAAACTTTTAAGTTTGGTATCCGGATCACGGAGGCGAACGCACAAAAATCATGGTCATTCCACGTGACCTGAGAATGCTTCATCAAGTCCATTTCGGACTGAAGAGCCCATACCTTGGATTTTTGAGGATTCCCAATTATGAAATAAAGCTCGGATCAATTGGCTTCTTGCGATCGAGGCTACAAAGCCCAGCATAACTCTCTTCTCTGCAACAATCTTCGGATCACTGATATTTTGCATATTGGACTAGGGCACAAACTGGCGCAAGCCACACAACGTCTGGTTGCTGCTCACGGATAATGTCCAACACCATCTGACGTCCCTTTGACGTCATGATGTCAAAACCAACTCAAACATTGATCGGCACGCCGACCTTTAAGCCTGTTAGCGCACAACACTGACTGTGATGCGCTACTCTAAGACATGGGTCTTACCTTTGGTCACACAGTTCCAATGTGCAAACTGAGCTCCGCAACGGTGTAGAGACCTGAGGATGACGCTGCTGCTGGTTCTACGGAACTTGGTTGATCCTGTGTTGTCTTTTTTAGACTGGCTGGTCGTTGATGCCTTGGCTTGTTCTAACATGTCTTGATGAATATCATCATCGGAGGATGGCAGGCCAAGCGCTGGTCTGGATTGCGACTTGGTTTCATCTTTCCTCAACTGGTGGATGTTGACCTTGAGTACTCTGGTTCCAAGGTCTATGCCAACCATAGTGCCATCTGTGGATCTCGCCGGACATCTTCTGGCTGTCAAGCCTCTTGACAAGCTTGTTGCGCAAGTAGTCGCATTTGTCAACTCTTCTTCTGTCTTTGGAATAGTGAGTTGTGGCGGTGTTGCTATGTTCAATTGGACAAGCTCTGCTGGTTTGCGTCCGAACGCTGCTTCCAATGGAGTGACTCCTCCGTATGTGACGGAGAGGTTTCTTGCGGGCTGCGGCTGCCTTCACAAGTTCCTTGTAGGCTATGGCTCAGAGAGGCTGATGCTACACCTGTCTTGATTGAGTTGAGCATTGGGGAGACTTGTCTCTTGATGAGACGGACTGCTGTCTGTGCTCGATTCGGCCAAGGTCTCATGGGAACTAGCAAGACAGGTCTAATGCCAAAACTGTTGTAGAAGGTCTCCCAGTTTTCTGTCATGAACGCTTAGTCTCCAACGACACATCTTGGCTGCAGATGATATTGATCAAAACAGTTCCGTAACAAAGGAATATTGTTGACATCAGTTGTTCTCTCTACCACTTCTGTGGTTAGAAGTGTTGTGGCGCCGTCAAGGATCACCAGAACATTGATGCGCCCAGGGAACTTGACAATAATCAATGAATGTCCGTACTTCTACCAGCGTCAACTTCTGCGGTTGGTTCTGCTAGGTATGCCATGTAACCATTGTTCTAGCTTGAATAAAAGAACTCCTGTTCCACTTTGTAGACCACCAGGCGCTTTGGCCCCAGTCATCCTGATACGGTTCTGCCAATATGTCGACAGGAGGCTGTGTGCCTTCCTGTGCTTCGGCATTATGATCCACGGCGAAGGTCTTGATCTTCCTATCATCCTTGCCTGAATCTTCTGTTTTGTCGTTGGATTGGCTGAACGGTTTTCCTTTCCCCTTTTGACACCAAGGTTGCGGTTTCTTTTCTTACCCCAGTAGGATTGATCGGTGTTGGAATCACCGGCCATGCTGGCCTTGCCGCCTGATTGTGGTTTCCTGAAGAGTTGGACGCGGCCTCTTTGGCGCCTGCCCTTGCCTTTCTTGCCTTTTCGCCCTGCCGGACTTGAGAGTCCGACGGTGAAATCTCTTGAGAACAAAAGCATTGTGGTCTTTGCCAGAATGCTTCTTCATCGACAAATGGACAAAAAGACCCTCTGCGCCTTCTGTTTTTAATTCAGAATTTGCTTCTCCTTCATACTCTCCTTGTTCAAGGACAACGAAGGTCTTGGATCTACTTCCGCCGGTTTGGATGCTGAAGCAAGGTTGATTCTGGTGGTGGTGAAATGGTTGGGCCTTTATGGTCTCATACGCGTGCTGAGGAAGCTGTACGCCGCTAAGGGCCAATGAAGATACCAACCGTTCTCGTTGAAAGAAGTTGAGAAAGCACCCAGAAGTTCACGGTATAGCGCCCTCGACGAGCCGGTTTTTGAGAAGCGGGCCTGGTCGCGCGGGCTCTATAACCGTGAGTGTAATCCAATCCCGTACCACATCTTCTTACCAAAACCAACAAACAGCCGTCATACCATGGAGGCAATTTTGCGTTCATCAAAAGATTGACGGTCTCTTCATGAGAACTCACGCCGTCATGACGGCTTTCAAGGAAAGCCGCTGCGGGCGGTTCTGCTCCATAGAAGTCCTCTTCACTCGACATCCTGCTTTCGGAGAACCTGCTCCGCTAACACAATTGAGGTTGCACATAGGGGGTCCCAAGTGAAGTCGTCCCAGAATACACCTCGTAGGTCCCTGGGCGACGCAAAGGCAAATACGTCTTGACGAGGGAAAAAAGAAGGAATTGTAAGCAGTGTTTGGTTCCAATAGGAACAAGTGTAAACTGTACCACAGTCAGCAAAGCGGGCTTTCTATCCATGAGCTAGAAATGCAAAAGCTACCAGGCCTTGAGCCATGAAATGCAATGCGATTGCTGCATGAGTGAATACTGTGAATCAAACACAGAACAAACAAGAAACACCCCTCCCCAATTTGTCATGAGGCCAGGACGGTTTTAGGTGTGTTTTAAAGGATGCAAAAAACTGATTTATTTGTGGGGGCGACCCATTCGAGCAGGCGCTGTTTTAGGTGTGTCAGCCTAATACACTGGCAGCCATGCTTACGCAGAGTCTCCGCGGGTGTGCAAAACCGTAGAAAGGTGCCTACACAAGCCTACGCGGCAACAAGCGCCTACGCGGAGTGCCAACGCAGACTTTTCTCGGGCGCTAACCCTTTGACCAAAATGATTAAGAAGACTGCGAACAAATAGTTGAAAGCTTGGCAACTCAGGCACAACCCTTTGTGAGCCACATTCGTTACGCCCTCAGGTGACACTGGATTTTAGTAAGTAACCCCATATGTTCTACAGTACCCAACGTCATTCCCTTTACTATAGAAGGTGACGGTGAATATTGACCCGTTGCTCATATTGGCTGATTGTATATGAAACTTCGTGCAATGCTGAAAGACCCCTCCCAGAAAAGCGTCAGGTCCTGCTTCTGCACGTCGGCGTAGGAAAAGATGATGGGATACTCCGTCACAAACTGGGCAAAGTGGACAGGTCTCAAGGTGGTACACAAATGGCATGGATCAAGTAGAAAGTACTCTCAGACAACTACATTAAGTAACCACATTTGATCTCCCATTGTGGGCCCCAAACTGGAGGAGACCATCGACCGGGACCCTAGCATTAACAAAGTCCCCTTCGGGAAAGGGCTTCTCTGAGATCCAACCAACTCCCCTTTGGAAAGGCTTCCATGAGATCCATTCCGGTCAGGGAAGAAGTTGAACAAATGCGCTCTGAGCCGCAGACCTGCGGAGACACATTGTCCTTCATGTCTGGCCTCATGTGGCGCAGGCGAACGCATGTTGACAGCCTCGAGCTGTCCCATTTGGGTGTACTTCAAAATTGAGCGGAACCCCGGGGGAAAAAGACGAAAACGATTGAAACCTGTTCTTCAAGTACCCAAACCTAGACTGTCGAAGGGGCGACGGCTCGGGACTGGAGTTTTGGTTGCCAAGTCCGTGGCCTGACCTGGACGATGCGCACCTCCAAGGTTGCGCCCACCAGGCCAGCGTCGCCCGCCTCCACTGGCCACTCACCCCAGGAATTCCGAGAGGAAACCAACCAAATACTCACCAAAAAGAGGATTCCTACAGAATGTCCTTCGCTGGTTTCTTAGAGTGCTCTAAGATCGAAGAAGTATTCCAATGTCAGTGTATATTTGTGTGTGTTATGTCCATCTCAGCCCAAAGTCGCTTCCCCAGCGACCAGCGAGTGTCCAGTCAAAAAGGCGATTGACTTGCGTGAGAGAAATTCCAGGATCCCTTCCAAATTCATTGTGTTTCGAGAGCCTTTGGTGAACTTGCAAAGGGAATTCTTTGGTGGACATGATTTACATTTGAAGTGAGGATGTTCCACATCAAATCTCAGGTTCAAAAACTGACTCATGCAAGTGACATCCTCAACAATCCGAGGTGTCCTTGCGGCAAAATAGATTGCTGGCACATGAGAACCAAAGGGAAATCAGCGCTCTCAGTTTTCAAGGAAACTAATATATACTAACCGAACGTGGACACCTATCACCGGGTTGAAAGAATTTTGAGAGGCCATGTGCATGTTCCCATTCGAGGAAACATGTCAGGCCCCATGTCGAGGGCTCGATATATTTCGACAAATGAGCAGCCGATGGCTCTATGATCACACATAGCCCGCATCTCTATGAGACCAGGAAGCTTGCGAACCTGACAGAGGCCAATCAGGGTTTGGGCTGCTCAAGATGTGTATCACGGCGAGCAGCCCCGGCCTTATTGCCCAAGTCTCTTGCAGGAATCATCCCCATCATGCCATCCTGTCCACTGAGATCTGGTTTGGTGGGCTGAGTCGACGGCTGAGCCGGTTGAATGGAAGATGTGTGCGAACTGGGTCCACGAAAGCGTCCTGAACAATAACCGTCAGTCTTCTTTTGATGGCCACGCCCCCTTTCAAAGGAAAGATCGATGGCTCACAGCTACGGATTCCCATCTCCTCCGTCATCACAGAAGCCCCCCAAGACCTTGGTCCAGGCCAAAAGACTCAGCCTTGGTTGTTCAACTTTCTTAAGTAGCTTAGAACTGTGCTTCTATTCGGGAGCCAACCTCTCTCACTTCGGCCATTTGAAAACCTGGCTGTGATCTTACTAAGTAGGTTGAACGTCCAAGTTGGAAACACTAAATTGTGTCAACTTAATCTCCTTTCGGGACACCCCTCAGAAATTGGAAAGTCTGATTGTTGAAATGCGTGCTCTCAGATCTTGCATGGATTGGCCAAG